ATTTCAGTTCAATACTTGAGTTACGACTTTCTGGAGAAGTCATGCTAGATTGCTCAAGTTTCCATGCTGGGCTTTGAACATCTGCTGGTTTGCATGTCTTCTGGATTTGGGGTGTTCTTCTTCAACAACCTACTTCTAGAGGCTCAATCTCCAGAACTACTCAGTGAGGAAGAAACAAACCACGGTGACAGATCAGCAGTTGCAGAAAAACATGGGCCGTTCGTCAGTGACTATAGGCATGGAAGTGGCAGCTGCTGGGTTCTGTCCTATGGAATTAGAAACTATCCGGGTAAGGGTGGAATTAGGAAATGAATGAGGTAATGGGAGGACACAGAGACAGAAGCAGCAGCAGCCAGCTTCCGTAGACAAAAGCAGAAAGAGGAGGGGCTGGAGAAAAGGGTAAGAGAGGGGAAAAGAACAGAGCAAGAGATTAGAAAGTGAAAAGTTAAACAAAAGAATTCCTATAGTAACGTAGTTCAAAGCCCAAGGTAGATCAATGTCAGAAGGGGAATAATGACTGGAAATGTTGGAGTAGTAAAAAAGTCAGCAGCTGGAGAGCTGGTTCCGTGGTTAAGAGCACTTGCTGCTCTGTGGCAGACCTGGGTTTGGTTCTTAGCACCCACGCGACAGCTCACACCACCTTAATTCTAGTTCTAGGTGATGCAACTCTTCCTCGGCAGGCTGCAACGGGCTTCTGCACCCACATGGTGAATAGAAGCTCAGAGAGACAAATGTCTACACATATTTTTTGTTTGCTTTTTTATATTATTTTTATATTGATTTTTTTATCGAGCTCGACATTTTCTCTGCTCCCCGCCTGCTCCCCCTTAACCCTCTCCCAAGGTCCCCATGCTCCCAATTTACTCAGGAGATCTTATCTTTTTCTACTTCTCATGTAGATTAGATCTATGTATGTTTATCTTAGGGTCCTCATTGTAGTCTAGGTTCTCTGGGGTTGTGATTTGTGGGCTGGTTTTCTTTGCTTTATGTTTAAAAGCCACTTATGAGTGAATGAGTACATGTGATATTTGTCTTTCTGGGTCTGGGTTTCCTCACTCAAAATGATGTTTTCTAGCTCTATCCATTTGCCTGCAAATTTCAAGATGTCATTATTTTTTTTTTCTGCTATGTAGTACTTCATTGGGTAAATGTACCACATTTTCCTTATCCCTTCTTTGGTCAAGGGGCATTTAGGTTGTTTCCAGGTTCTGGCCATGACAAACAATGCTGCTTTGAACATAGTTGAGCACATGTCCTTGTAGTATGATTGAGCATCCTTTGGGTATATACCCAAAGCGCTATTTCTGGGTCTTGAGGAAGGTTGTTTCCTAATTTTCTGAGAAATTGCCATACTGATATCCAAAGGGGCTGTACCAGCCTTGCACTTCCACCAGCAATGCAGGAGTGTTCCCTTTACCTGGCTTTTAAAAAAATCCAGGTGTGGTGGTGCATGACATTAATCCCAGCACTCAAGAGGCAGAGGTAGGCAGATCTCTAAATTCAAGGTCAGCCTGATCTACACAGTGAGTTCTAGTGCAGAAGACTACACAGACTCTGTTAAATTTTTTTCTTCCCCCTGAGATAGGATTTATCTGTGTATCCCTGACAGTCCTGGAACTCACTCTGTAAACCAAGCTTTCCTGGAACTCACAGAGATCCGCCTGTCTCTGCCTCCCGAGTGCTGGGATTAAAGAAGTGTACCACCACTCCCTGGCTCCCTGTTATTTATTTATTTATTTATTTATTTATTTATTTATTTTTGGGTGTGTGTATGTTTAAAAAGAGAACATAAAGTAAAAATACTACTAAATGTAGAGACAAGGAAAAGCAGTAAGCACAGAGGGCAGAAATAAAAAGAAAAAAAATAAAAAGAAAAAAAATGCAGAAATGAAACAAGATGAATGTATAAACGATAACAGCGAAAACAAGAAGTTTTGAGAAATACACAGCAGTCAAGTCCCTTTAAACATATGGGAAAAAGTAAGTTGGGGTGTCGGGGCTTCTCCTTTCTGGGCCTAGGGAACTGGAGACTGGTCCGCCATGATAGACCTGAAGAGTCGGGTGCTTGAACTTGAGCTCTGGTCTTTCCTTTGGTCTGTAGCTCTGCGCTGAGTCTGTGCTAGACAAGCATCTGAGTCTGCGAGACTCATTTCCAGAGTAACAGTTTTCTGTCTTTAGTTTTGTATTCTGTGAGCTGGGCAGATCCTTTTCCCCTCTGAGAGCCAGCCCCATCGCCCTCCCTGGCGACTGCTTTAGTTGAAGAGTATCTGGCACCTTCCAGTGGGTGGTGGGCGTGGGGGAAGCAGCTACAATACTGAGACGGTGCAGGCAGAGCACTTCTCGAACTTTCATGGCCTCCTGCAGGAGGGAATATCGCTGTAGCTATCATGCATGCACCTGAAAATTAAGTTCATGGGCTTTACCACACTGAAGGCAGGCAGACAGATGGCTCTCGAGTTTGATCAACTTGCTGGTCTGAGGCTCAGAGTTATCCCACTTCAGAGTAATTGTAGATGAGGCCTGCTCGTGGCCCCCGAGGCAGGGGCTGTCTCTCTTGTGTGTCCTAGCCTGAGCCACCCTCCTGTGGCTTGCCCACTTCAGTCTGTCTGTTCCTCACCAGTCTCTCATCACCCAGGGACCACGGCTGGCCAAATTGAGTCTTCTTAACTAGTAGGTGTTCCTGGGTTCCAGGATAGTTTCTCTCTCAAGATGGCGCCCACAGCTGCCCTCTGAGCCACATGGCTTGCCAAAATAAAAGTTCTTTCTGTTGCTGGCTAGAGGAGAGTCATTGTAACATCAGAACCTGCAATGGACTGAGGCTCATGATGGCTGCCATCTTGTCTTGAGGGCAAGGCTGCTCTGGCTTCATCTGGTTTACCTTTTGGAAGTGACTTTTGAGGTCCATATGCTACCTTTCACAGAACTGGTGCACTGAGGCTAATTTTGGCTTCTTTCTTTGCATGATGGTATAGCTTTCTTCTGTCCTTTTCAGCATCCTTTGACTTCTTCATAAATTTCTGAGGCAACCCTTGAGATAAAGTCTTTTTTGTTTCTTATTCTGAATCTCTTTTTTGCTGGTACCCACAAAAGTGGCCTCTAGTCTGCCATCTGGCCCTGAAATCTCTGCTCCTCACATGCCTGCAGACCACAGCACAGAAAGAACTAGAAGCCTTCCTGGGCTATAATGCTCATGGCCTCTTCCCAGTGGCCTGTTTCTGCCAACTAGGTCCTTCACCCCAAAGGTTCCACAACCTCCCCAAATAGCACCTAGCACCCCAGGATGGAGATACATAAACCGCTAGAGTATAACAACATAAGAGGGTATGTACAATATGATCAGTGGCCCATTGTATGATGTGTGGAATGCTACAGTGGAAACCAGCATACTACAGTACAAGCAGCACGTACTAAAAGCATGTAATAAAACATATAATAAAAACAAAACAAAACAGCAGCAGCAAAACCCTGGAAATGTGTGAATTTTGGATTAGACCAGGATTTCTTAGGTGGCACATTTCGTTACGTAGATAACAAATGCTATTATACCTCTCTAAAGCCGTTCAAAATCCTGCCTGTGGCCTCCATTCCTGTTGGTTACATAGTCTAAGACTCCTGAGAAGCTGCATTTGGCCCGCCTGTCCCTAAAGGTGCAAGAGAACTCTTGGGGGTCATCCCTGTAACTGTAGGCTTGGTAATTGATGAGCATTGCGAGACAACACAGGCCTCACTGTGAGTCAGGCATTAAGGAGAGCAGGGTGCACTGCGCCCACTGTTCTGCTGTTCTCAACTGGACTTTTGGTCTCCGGGCTGTCCTGAAGGCTTGGGATAAAGTTGCTTCGGAAAGCACCTGGTGGGTGTCTCCGTTCCTCCAGTGCAGATTTCTTTTGGGGCAAGTCCTTTGGTCTTAGCCATTCCAACCCACCGCAGAGGTTCCTCTTGAGATGGCTGTGTACTTGATCCAGTTGCCAGAGCTTCATTTTTTTCAAACACCCTGAAGTTAGCCTTTCTCCAGATCTTCCTTTGTTATTCCTTTCCAGTCTGTGTTTCGAAATGTAGTTCTGTTGTGATTGGGGATGTTTTGAAGCAGGACTATGGAGTCAGGTCTCTGTCTTAAATTTTCAGGTAAGCCTTTTAGTTTCTCTGAGACTCTCTTTGGGAAATCTGAAAAACAGAGACAATCATAATCATTGCATTTGGTGACTGCTAAGATGTCATAAGTTTATGTATGGAAAGGCCTTAGCACAACTGGCTGGCATATAATAGTCTCAAGAGTGCAGCTTCGGAATCTGGGTTTGTACCCATCTTTTTTTTTTTTTTAACTTCAAGCCAAGTAATCTGGATGTGAATTCCCTACCTAATTTCTCTGTGCTTCCATTTCTATAAAATGAATATTTTCATTAGGGGATTCTGAAGAGAAAATGAACGAATAACATACTAAGAACTAAGGCCGAGGCAGTGGTCGCCCTTCTCTCTTTAGGCAGCACCATATTCTTATTCCCTTGGAGCAGTATGTTTGGTGTGTGTGGATTAGACACGAGCATTACAAGGACATAATAGTAGTCACTGGCTAGGTAGACCCGGTTGGCTTGGCTGGTGGATCGCCAGTGGTGGTTCGTGAATCTCTGTGTTACTGTCTGCCACATGTGTCTTTCCGTGCACTCTGCCAGCGAGAGGCAGCCCTTTCCCCACACAAGCATGACTATGGGTCAGACTTCTCTGCTGGAATAGGTCCAATAGATTAAGACCCTAGGTCTCTAAAATCTCTGTGCACAGCACTGTGACATACGAGGAGAACTTTGGTAAATGGTTCTCTCTGCACAGCAGGCTGCAAGCACCGTGAAGATGAAATGCCAAGAGTGCATGGGATGGGAGCAGGAATCTTCTTTGTTCTGCTATGTCAGAGATTATAATTGGAAACTGGCTTTGGCTTTGGGGCATTTTAAAACACATGGAAATGAGGAGGTCTGATCGATCAGTGATTACCTCTTCTTTAATTTCAGCTGATTATTTACCTTGGAACCAACCCAAACGGGAGCTTCTTCGTCCACCACACAAGTTCCGGCCAGAGTCGGCCAAGTTTGAAAACAGAACCACACATCAGGATGACTATACCATGAAAGGCCTTGTGATTACTGAAAGCTGCAAGCCTCCAGCTAAACCAAAGCTCTATAACATCCCTTTGGAGGATCTGACCAACTACAAGATGAGCTATGTGCCCCACCCTGTGGAGAAACGCTATGTCAAAGAGCCTGTGAAATTTATTCCCTGCGACATCCCCTTCGAGAACCTGACCACCCACAAAGAGTCCTATCGAGGCCTCCTGGGGGAGCCTGCCAAGAGCACGAAACCTCCAGCCAGGTGCCCTGTGCAAGATGTACCTTTCTCAACCTCCACCGAGTTCCAAGATAAGTTCCAAGCTTGGCCAACACCCCAGATACCCGCCAAAGCTCCCGTTGCCTATGTCCCTCCCGAGGAGAAGATGGATCTTCTGACGACTATGCAGACCCATTACAGGTACCTTAAGGGTAGCCCTGCTCACGCTTGCCGGCCTGTGCCTTCCGTGAAGAAGAGCGGCTGCTTTGAAAGCTCCACCACCACCAAGGACGACTACAAGCAGTGGGCAGCTGCCCTCACAAAGCCGGTCAAACCCGTGCCCCATCTGACCCTGCCTGCCGAGCCTTTGGACTGCCAGACTACCACTAAGATCTGCTATGTGCCCCACCCACCTATCACTACTAAAAACTACAAGCCCCCCTGGCTTGGCCTACGGAGAAACATCCCTGTGGAGGGTCAAACTACCTACTCCATTAGCTTTACTCCCAAGGAGATGGGCAGGTGCCCGGCATCGTACACTGAGCCCCCTGGCTACATCTTTGAGGAGGTGGACGCTATGGGGCATAGGATATATAGGTCCCTCTCTCAGACAGGCTCTAGGCAGGGCAGCTGTCTTTCTATAAACGACGCGGAAAAGGCTGGCCAGAAGGAACTGGAAATGTCAGCCTGACTTTGAAAAATTATCTAAGAATTCCACAGTCCCTCAAAAATTATCCATTGAAGCATTTTCCAGAGCAACAACAAACAAAAATTAAAACACCTTACCTCATAATGAGAAACTGTTCTTAACCACCTGCAGGATATCTGAATAGCATGAGAGTCACTTGAATAAAGGAAAGTGATGGGCACTCATTGGCTGATTGACCCCCGTAGCCCTCCCTCTGCTTTCCTCTCTAACCCCTTCAGGTCCCTTTTGTTCACGGAATCAAAGATGACCTCAGTGACGTTTCTGTGATCTTGATCTCATTTAATTATCGTGTGACTTGATTTTAAGCTTTGCCAAGTTTGAAGTGCCAAAGAATAAATGCTATTTTGGGACATTGAATTTGTAGGTTGGTTTGTTGACCTTCGTGTACTTGCTATGCAGAGAGCTGTCGACATGGGACCTTTGGAGGGACTTCATACAAACACCTTATTGCATCTCAACAAGGGAAGAGGTTCTTTGAGCCCAGGCTGGAGTCTTCTTTGGGTTTTCTGTGTCCAGGTCTCCTTCACAGGACATTTGTCTACTTATTTCCTGCGTGACATACCGTCAAGGATAATGATGTCTGATTGGGTGTGGCTCTTGTCAGTCCTTGACAAAGGAAAGGGAGGCGGTCCTGGAGGAATTCTATGGGAATGTGGACCTGCCAGACTTTTTTGCCTTCTCTCACATTAACGTAGGCTCTAGTTCCAGGAAGAAGGGGAGGAAGGGCCACTTGGCAAGCAGGCACTTGAGAGCTGGCCCTCGAGCTGTGAGTAGAAACTGTGGGATCTTCTAAATGTTCAGAGCCCAGAATAGATTGCCCGAGGCAGGGCAGATTTCTGGGAACGCTGGGCCTACTTCTCCTAAAATAACAGCTGTGACCAGATCTGTGACAGAGCTTGGCACAGCGAAGGGCCAGGCTCTGCCTTGGAGATTTCTTGGGCCTAAAGTTTTTTAAAACCAACTTTTGATGTGAAGGCCAAGTTGAAGTAGGCAGAAGGGAGGAAAGATTGTTCAAGAGAGCTCTCTTTCCAGGCCTAGAGGGCAGAAGATGCGGACTGACACCTGACTTACCCACCTGTCTTTCCACATTGAATTTGCAGGTTTGTTCACCTTCATGCGCTTTCTATGGAGAGCACAGAACCCCTAAATACTCCATGGTCCTAGGAACTTGGGGATATGGTGGAGGAGATGGGATTTCAGCTTAAGACATTGGCTTAGGCCCAGAGCTTGGTTTTTCAGTGAGGAGCCTATATCTTCTGCCCAGTCTGTCCATGGTGCTCAGGTCTGGCCTGGGCTAGTTAAGTTCCCCTCCCTTGCATCTTCACCATGAAGTTAGTTTTTATCAGTGGGTTCAGACATCTGTATCATTTGTTCCTGTGTCTTGTCTGATGAATGGATGCCTATCTTTTTTTTAAAAAATTTTTATTATGCTCTACATTTTTCTCTGCTCCTCTCCCTGCCTCTCCTCTCCCCTTCAACCCTCTCCCAAGGTCCCCAATGCTCCCAATTTACTCAGGAGATCTTGTCTTTTTCTACTTCCCATGTGAGAGAGATCCGTGTCTCTCTTAGGGTCCTCATTGTTGTCTAGGTTCTCTGAAATTGTGATTTGTGGGCTGGTTTTATTTGCTTTATGTTTAAAACCACTTATGAGTGAGTACATATGACAATTGTCTCTCTGGGTCTGGGTTACCTCACTCAAAATGATGTTTTCTAGCTCCATTCTTTGCCTGCAAAATTCAAGATGTCTTTATATTTTTCTACTGTGTAGTACTCCATTGTGTAAATGTATCACATTTTCCTTATCCATTCTCTGATTGAGGGGCATTTAGGTTGTTTTCAGGTTCTGGCTATGACAAACAATGTTGCTATGAACATAGTTGAACACTCGTTCTTGTGGCACGGTTGAACATCCTTTGGTTATATACCCCAAACTGGTATTCCTGGGTCTTGAGGAAGGTTATTTCCTAATTTTCTGAGAAATTGCCACTCTGATATGCAAAGGCGCTGTGTCAGTTTGCATTCCCACCAGCAATGCAGAAGTGTGTTCCCTTTCCCCACAACCTCTCCAGCATAAGTTGTCATTAGTGTTTTTGATCCTGGCCATTCTTACAGGTGTAAGATGGAATCTCAGAGTTAGTTTAATTTACATTTCTCTGATGACTAAGGATGTTGACCAATTCCTTAAGTATCTTTCAGCCATTTTAGATTCCTCTGTTGAGAGTTCTCTGTTTTGGTCTATACTCCATTTTGTTATTGGATTATTTGTTCTTTTTGACATCCAATTTCTTGAGCTCTTTGTATATTTTGGAGATCAGATGTCTGTCTGATGTGGGGTTGGTGAAGATCTTTTCCCATTCTGTAGGCTGTCATTTTGTCTTGTTGACCATGTCCTTTGCTTTACAGAAGCTTTTCGGTTTTAGGAGGTTCCATTTATTAATTTTTTCTCTCAGTATCTATGCTACTGGGGTTATATTTAGGAAGTGATCTCCTGTGCCAATGCATTCAAGTATATTTCCCACTTTCTCTTTTATCAGGTTTAGTGTGGCTGGCTTTATGTTGAGGTCTTTGATCCACTTGGATTTGAGTTTTGTGCATGGTGATAGATATGGGTCTATTTTCATTCTTCTACATGTTGATATCCATTTATGCCAGCACCATTTGTTAAATATGCTTTCTTTTTCCCATTTGATATTTTTTTGCTTCTTTGTCAAAAATCAGGTGTTTGTAAGTGTGTGGATTGATATCTGGGTCTTCTATTTGGTTCCATTGGTCCTCCTTATGCTAATACCATATTCTTATGTTCTTATGCTAATACCAGGCTGTTTTCAGTACTGTTGGATGCCTATTTATGGGGTAGGGAGGCCCAGAGCAGTTAAGCTTCCAAGGAGAAGGAGAGAAGCAAAGTCAACATGTAATCTAAGTTTTCTGACCTCAGATCTGAATTCCACAATGCAGGTATCATTCTCCTGGGTCTTAGACCTCCTGACTCCATGAACCACATCAAACCATATATCTAAGCAGACTGGGGTCTAAGTTAATGAAGAATACTAAAAAGGCTAGCATGACACATGACTCAGACGTGAACCGTCCTCTCAGAGCTCATGTATTGAGGACTTTGTATGCAGTGTGGTGGTGTTCAGAATCGGGAGCCTTTGGAAGTAGTTAGATCCTGATGGTTCTCATTTCACCAATGGGTTATTGGATTCAGAGTGGAATGGGATGTTGATGGAAGGCAGTGGAAGCTTTAGGGGCTGGAGCCTTGTTAGAGCAGTGGTTCTCAGCCTTCCTAACGCCACCATCCTGTAACAACGGTTCCTCCTGTTGTGGTGACCGCCAGCCATAACATTATTTTTTGTCGTCACTTTGTAACTTTAATTTTGCTATTGTTAGAAATTGTGATGTAAATACCTGTGTTTTATGAGTCTTGGGTGACCCCAGTGAAGGGTCACTCGAACCCCAAAGGGGTTGCGACCCACAGGTTGAGAACTGCTGCATTAGAAGAGCTAGGTTCCTGTCTTTGAGGGGCTTATTATTGCCTCCCCATCCCTTTCTCTCTCCTTTGTTCCTAAGCACCATGCGATGAGCAGGTTTGTTCCCCTATGCACTCCCCACTGCGATGCTCAGACTCACGGGGCCAGAAACCGTGGAGCAAGGCACTATGATTGCAACCTCCAAAGCCGGGAGCCGAAATGCATTTTCCTCCACTAAGAAAAACTGAGAGGGGCTGCAGAGATGTCTCAGTGGTTAAGAGCACTGGCTGCTCTTCCTGAGGTCCTAAATTCCATTCCCAGCAACCACATGGTGGCTCACAAATCGCCTATTTTGGGGTCTGATGCCCTTTTATGGAGTAAAGGTGTCCTTACAGATAGAGCACTCATATACATAAAACATACAAAACTTGAGGCTGAGGTACAAGGCCATTTTTGCTCGCCTAAGCAAGGTCTCTAGAACTAAAGAGAATACACGGCTCCTACTAAAATCGAAGGTGCTTATGCCTGAGATGAAGTCGCACTCTACAAGACATGTGCCTTTGTGTAAAGCAAGAACAGTGCAGTGACTCCCTCAGGCAGACCTGACAGAACCAGAATAATTTGGGGAAAGGTAACATGGGCCCTCGGAAATAGTGGCATGATTCTTGTTAATTTCTGTAGACACCTTCCGGTAAAGGACATTGCACAGAGTCCGTGTGATGTGCCTCTACTGAACGGAGACTAACAAACTGCAAATAAATAAAAGTGGATTTGAACTCTTGTAAAAAAGAAAAAGAGTTGACTTTGGTCCTGGTTTGGTGCCTCACACCTGTAATCCCAGCACTTGGGAGGCAGGGGCAGGCGGATCTCTATGGGTTTGAGGCTAGCTTGGTCTACACACTGAGTTTCAGGCCAGCTAAGGTTACATCGACCCCATCTCCAAACAACAGCAACAAAGGGGTACCAAATCCCCCCAACAAAACAACTGTACCACATTAAAAAGTTGCTCTCCACAGATGTTTTATCATAGTGATGACAGGAGCCTATAATAACACTGATCTTGATCTTATTTTTGTTGTAGTTTTTGAAAAACCATTATTTTATCAGAAAATGTGTGTGTAAGTTCAGCAATCTACGTCGCAGCCCTACGTTTACAGATATTTACAGATATGACCATGCTGGTCATAGGTGTCAATGCTGCGTGGGACTATTAATTGCTTCTTCCCCGAGGCAGCTTGCACAGTACTTTCTGGCACTATGGGAGCTAAACTTTATCTGTCTTTGTTCATAACTTGCCTGTCTCCCATTCCGTTACATTAGATGTGGTCTGTTCGGGTAACTGTGGATTTTAAGTTTTTTGTAGTGTCTCCCTTTTCTCCCTTTCTCTCAGCGCAGTTAGATGTCAGTGCCTGGGAACCTCAAGATTTTCTAATGGCTCTGACTCCTACATAGGTCAGATGCTTTTCAGTGGCATACTTGTAGAGAGCAAGCAGGCGAGGCAGGTGGGGGCGAACACCGTCCTAACGGCAGACGAATGGTTCCCAAGCCCCTCCGGCTATCGCCTAAGCCCACGTCTGTTTAGCAGGTATGGGTGGGGGCAGATGGGACCCTTTGGAGCATACATGCTGGAGTTGGGGGGAGGAGGGGTGTTTTCTTTGGCAGAGCAGACCTTGAATTTGCACGTGGCTTTCCAAGCAGGTGCTTAGCCCCTCCCTACCTTGGCGATGCAAGGGGAGCCCTGGAGCCCACGGACCTTCCAGAAGAACATGTGTTGCCTTCTGGAAAAGGCATCAAAGCAACGGTAAACTGGGTTTTCCTTTCAGGCCCATCCTGAGCACCAGGTGCCCCCAGTCCTTGCCTCTGGATCTTTAGAGGCTGACATGAGAG